AAATTACTTCATCTTTCCTTCACACCCAAATATTTTTCCCCAAAAGTCTGCCGAAGGATTAATGCCATGCCCTCTGAGTATTTATCTACTTATTCCCCTTGATCCCCCTGCATCTGACTTCCCCCAAAATGCCTCTTTGCAGAGTTCCTTGTTTGTCAAGCAAACCAGTTGTGTCAGGCTTCTACAGACGGAGGTGAGGGCAAAGGAACTGCAGAACATCCACCTAAACTCACACACGGAGCAGTCTGACATGAGCTGCGTTACAAGCTCCTGAAGGGAGGCACCACAGAGAAAGCGGCACTTTGTCCTGCAGGCAGCTGCAGCAGCACTTGGGCATAACCCCGCCCAGAACAAAATTCACAGCTGTTGAGATCTCACCACGGTGCGAGAAAAACACAGCACACCAAGCGAGCATACTGAAGTACTATGCAATTTCACCACAGTAAGCTTCCAATTAATGGCCGGAATTGTGACTTAATTCTGTTCCCACACATGCTCCCCCCTCCAGTCACATTTCTCCTTCCCGATGAGGCTCCAGCGCCTCCTGCCCCGCTCTCCGGGGTTCGGTGAGCACACGGCCAGGCCCGCACGTCAGCAGCACAACCTGGCACCGGCGGACACCTCCTCCCGGACCCGCCGGGCTCTGCTCCCCCGAGCTCCTGAGGGAGCGCCGTGCCTCCTGCGGGCCGCCCAGCTCAGCACCTACATCCCAGCACTGGAAAGTTCGGGGAGAAACATCTGCGAGGGCGTTTGCAGAACTGGATATCGGGAAAAGTTTCACCCGAGGGTGGCCGAGCACTGAGCAGGCTCTCCAGGGAAGTGGTCACCACAGCAGCGACTCTGAGAGAGTTCAAGAAGCGTTTGAAGAACACGCTCAGGCACATGGGGGTGACTCTCGGGGTGTCCTGTGCACGGCCAGGACCTGGACTTTGATCCCTGTGAGTCCCTTCCGACAAGGCACTCCATGAAATGTTCCCTATTGTTCACCCTTCAAGACCTCACACACCCCGCGTCACCCGCGGACCCACGAGGCGCCCCCAGCGGCGCGGACGGGCCCGGGCACGGCCCCTCACGGCCCAGGCGCGCCCCGCCCGTCCTCCCCCGGTGCCGGACCTCAGCGCCGGGCGCGGGACGGGCCGCGCTCAGTCCGGCTGCGTCACGGTCGCCCCGCCCGCTCCGCCCGCCCGGCCCTGCCCGCACCCGCCGGCTTCCCCCGGGCCGGGCCCTGCGCTCGGCGCCGAGGGGCGGCGGGGGGCGGGTCCCCGCTCACCGCATCCCCGGCACGTCCCGCGGAGGAGCCGCCGCCGCTCCACGGGCACCGCAGCGCCGCGGCCGCTCCCCCCGCGCCGCGCAGGCGCGCGCTCGGCGGCGGCGCGCGGGGGTGACGCAAGCGCGCGGCTCGCGCCCTTGTTGCCGGGACACGGCGGACGCGGGGCCGGGAGCGGGGCCCGGGCGGCCCTGCCCTCGCCGCCGCTCTCACGGCGGGACCCGGGCGGCCCTGCCCTCGCCGCCGCTCTCACAGCCCTGAGCCTCCTTCCTTCTGTCCCGGTCCCGGCTGTAGGGCCGCTGCACCCAGGGTAGCCGGCGGTGACGTTGTCGCCTAGAGGAGCGGGCCCCGCCTGAACATGCTTAGGGTCGATTAGGTTGGGAAAGGACTGAGATCATCGAGTCCAAGCTGTGACCGAACAGCACCCTGTCACTTAGACCATGGCACTGAATGCCACGTCCAGTCGTTCCCTAAACCCCTCCAGGGACGGTGACTCCAGCACGGCCCTGGGCAGCCCATTTCAATGTCTATCAACCCTTCTGTGAAGAAACTCCTGCTACTGTCGAACCTGAACCTCCCCTGGCACAGCCTACGTCCTCTCATCCTGTCGCTGCTTTCCTGGGAGAAGAGACCGACCCTCTCCTGGTCACAGCCTCCTTTCAGGCAGTTGTAGGGAGTGATAAGGGCATCCCTGAGCCTCCCTTTCCCCAGGCTGAACACCTCCAGCTCCTTCATAATAATTTTGCTCCCGACACTTCTCCAGCTCCATTGCCCTTCTCTGGGCTCGTTCCAATCCCTCACTGTCCTTCCTAATGGATCCAGAACAAGTCACAGCACTCAGTGTGTGGCCTCACCTGTGCCCAGTGAAGGGGGACAATCCCTGCCCTGCTGGCAATACTATTATCCATTCTGACACACAGCAGAAGTGCTGTATAGAGCTGGTTTGTGTAAGAAAAACTCTGCAATAGCTGGGCTGACAAAAACAGGATCACTTTTCACCTTGCTGCACCCTCAGGAGATGCACGCTTAGTGCTGCACTGTCCTGGATTCACAGTGCCTTCACTCTTAACTATGAGCTCTATTAAATAGTGATTTAAATTATGCTTAATGGAGTCTGAGTGCCTGGCTTAGTGGGATCATCCCAGGCCACAGCTGCTGGTGCAAACCCTGGTCTGCAGGGAGGATATGGGCGGTGGATGTGAGTGGCAAGGGTCAATGCTGGCTGACCTTTTCACAAAAAAACCCAACACCCATAAACGACAACAAGCCATTGAGAAACAGATATCCTAGAACATCCTATGGGTCATGCACATCCTGATGCTGTAATATTTAATTCTACTTTTTTTTTTTTCTTAATTTTAAGAGGAGAAAAGGAGTAGTACTTCCCCTTCCTGCCTGCTTCTGTTCACACATGGACACACGTACTTCCCATGCCAAAGGCATCCCTATATTCCAAGCAGGGATTGGGCTGGACTGAAAACCTTGCTGTGTTTCCTGCAGGCCAAGCACCCCTTTTGCCTAAGGTCAGCAAACATCTGCAACCTCAGTGTGGGAATCTGAGTGGTGTTACCACCAAGTGACAAGAACAGACTGTGCTCTCCTGCTCGGTGGGATGAGTTATTAGTCCAAGGTGCTTGAGCAGCTCTGGCACATCAAAGAGCTTCAGAGCTGTTGAAAAGGTCTCATTAAAAAAAAAAAAAAAAAAACACAACACTTGAGAAAAATCAGAAACATAATGAAGAATTTCTCTTAAGTTTCTGCTACCTCTAGTTAAGGGTTTGGTGTTTAGACACTCTTGGTCTAGCTACTTGAATAAATGTTTCCTGTTTGCCTTGTAGTAGGTGCATCCCTTGCAATTCCATTGAACAATGAGCAGGAATGTTTTGTACTTTCCAATGGCAATGTGACTGAGTTGTGCTAACTACATAGAGACAATATCAAATAGAGAACTTGTTGATTAGTACTTAGAGCTGCCTTAATTCTATACAGAATAGTGTGACAGCTCCTTTAGCCCTTGTGGTGTTGGCATAAATTGTGTAGTGAAATGGAAAGGCAGATCAAACCATGTGCATTGGTCAGGTAGCAGTAGCAAGGTCAGGATGAATGCTGAGTTTTGAAGGTGCATGATAAAATAAGACACTTAAAGATTAAGACAATATCTTATTAAAACAGAATACATGTTTTTTAGCAAGTAAACACTTCAGGGGAAAAAAGTGCCCTTATTTAGCTCTAGAACAGAAGCAACATTGTAATTATCTCTTGGCTGTAGAGAAAAGAATAGAGAAACAGGTAATTTCTAATCTCTAAAACATGGAGAAGAGAGGCAGAAGGAAGATTTTAAAATTTTCCCAAACTACCTGGAATCCACTATGTTTGCCTGTGTCCTCAGGCCCATTTGCTACTCTGCACCTTCATGACTGACTGGTGGCTGTGGCTCCTCCTGATGGCCTTACTTGTGCTGGCTACTCCTCACAGAGCACTTCATTCAGGACACAAGGTGTTACTGTGATGTTTGGCAAGGAGGGGAGTTACTTAACTGGCTGGGAAAGCTGTGTCTAGTGCTGTCCTCTGTTGCACATTTTTCTGCTAAAATTCTGCTGATGGACATGTGAAATGAGCAGTTTTTAGAGCTGCACTGAATCACTTGGAGCCATAAAATATTTCTGAACTATCAAAAAAAAAAAAAAAGGCAAAAAGAGAAAACAAAAAACAACCCAGGGAATCTCTTAAGTATTTATAATGTAAGTATAATGCCAGAAATACACTATAAGTCATTACTAGTGGAATGTATAAACACTGGAAATTTTAAAATTTATGTAAATGAAAAATATCCAAGTTCATAACCCAGTATCCTACACTGTTGAAAACACAATATATGTGACCAGTTCTATTGCTAGTTTGCTATTTTAAAAATTATTATTATCTAAGACTATGTTTCTCAAGCTGCCTGTTGAAGGAAGAAAACTTCCTTTGGCATAACAACTTCCTTCAAACATACAGATAAGTTATCTAAATTATTTATTCAGGAAAATATTTGATAAACTGCTAGTGTTGTTATAACAAGTAATTATTTCTGTAACATTATGGTTATATCAATTCTTTTTACCATGAGACAGTTTTCATGAGACTAAATTGTCCAGACAAACATATCCACCATGGTTTATTTTTTAGGGAGTACTGTAGACATCCCATGTCACCTGACACCTTTATTATGAAAGCCACACATAAATACACAAAAAAGATCTCCAGTATAAGTCTTGTTCAAGGATTTTTTTGTCTCCCTCTGTCAAATATCTCATGTAGAAGAATGATAATGGTTTCAATAAATAAAACAGTAACTTATGATACAATGAAGGTATCTGAGTTATCCATTGCTGTGTGTATATACACATCAGCATCTTTGTACCCTTCTTTGGGCATTTGAATGACAGTGGGTTAATCCTTTGAGTTTTTACTCCCTTGTAAACAGAACCGTTTCTTCTGTTTGTAAACAGACATTTTGTTTTAAAGCAGCATGCAACTACTGAATGGAAATAAGCTAATCTACGTGAGGAAGAACTACAGCGCCAGTTTTTATTTTAGGCATTAAGCTAGCAGACAGCCTCCAGCCAGACATAAAAACCTTTTTGTTATATATTGATCTAAATTCCATGGAAATAGTTAATGTAGTGCATGTGGTTAGTAGCATATTCCTAATTGCTTCTTTATTAAAGATGAAAAATGAGCTGTAATATGAATTTGTAGAATTTATTTCAAGTAAATAGGATACCATGTTCTTCTGCAAGAATATTTGTTGCCAAAGATGTAATCATTAAAAAAACAAGGTTTCATATGTTAAAGATGGAGAAAATACAAGTATTTACAATCACTTATGTTTAAAAGCACTGCCAAGTTCTGTGTGCTTTATTTTATACTTCCATCAAGAACTGTACATTCTTTCCTTTAAACTTCTGCTTCTAGACACTTTACTGTGGCCTCAGGCTTAGTTTTACCATCTTCTACCTTATTTCCATTATTCTGTGTTTCCTTCTCAGGTGTTTGGTCATTGGATTTTGTCTCTTTGAGAGTGGTAGTTACAACTGTTTCTTTTTGCTGCTTCTTGTTTATAAATGGTAAGGTTTTCTTGTACCTTTAAAAAGAAAAAAAGATAGTAAAGCAAAAATATTGGGATAGTTTGGTAGTATCACTCAAACAGCTAGAATTAAATTACCATACTCAAGCAGAAGTCTCTCAGAGGATAGTGGCATGCTAGATCATTGTACTTTTTCCAGCAGTGTGCTTTCTAAAGAAATATTTTGTTTTTTTTTTTAAAAACAGACAAGGCATATTCAGGATTTGTGGTACACAATGATAAAGCTGTCTGGGCTAGGGTGTGAGAACTGCACACTTTTTAGTAACATTTAATAATGCACTGTGTTGAAGGTCTAAGTTTGACAAATGAGTTCAACAATTATTTTTTTCTGAGCAAAATCATAGTGCAATAATAAAAACTTTCACCTTGAGCGTGACATAAAAAGAAAAGAGAAGGATAAAAATGGTTTATGTGTGAACTGATGCACATTTCAGTGTTGCTATTTTAACACACTTGGAAATGTTTCACACTAGGCATGACTGACCAATTAAAAGCAGGCAATATTTTTTGTGTTCCTTTTTTATAGCAGGGAGTGGCAACAACAAACTTATCTGCATAAAAACAGGGTTTAAGATTTTTAAAATTTGTGCAGTACTATTATGTTATCATGACTACTTCTCTGTTCTTTAGTATATATTTTAAATATTCAGTGATTGCACTCTAGGAGTTAATTTGCTCCAAAAGAGAAAAAAAAAGAAAAGGCAACTTACTTTTTGATATAACAGACTGCTAGAACAACAGAGATAATGAAGAAGAAGATTGCCAGTACAAGAAGTGCAGTGGGGATACCTGGAGATAAAAGTGATACAATCACAGAGTTTTTATTTATGTACTTAAAGCTGATGTCCTGAAGGCTTAAGAACAAAAATCTGGATTCTTCTAAAACCAGCCTCATATAACAGTACATACACATGAACTGAAGAATAGAATGTTAGGAAGATCAAAAGCTGAGTTACTCCTGAGTTATTTCTTTCAGGATAGCCTAAAACTGGTGTTTAGGACATCCCTGACAGATATTTGTCTAATCTGCTCATTGGAGGGTTTTTACAACCTGCTTGGAGAACATATTCTTGTTATTAACTATCCTTACAGTTAGCATGCCTTTCCTCATGTTTGGTCTGTTTCTCCACTGCTGCATTAGGATTGCTTACTCACCTTGTATCTCAAGAACAATTAGCCTTCAAACTTTCTTGGCTTCTTTTGGTTTTAAAGAGCCTGCTGGTGAGTTTTCCATTACACTAAAAGTGTTTGCCAAGATTTTTTCTGAAATTTTTTTACCTCAAATCACATTAACCAGAAAGAACTTACACAATTTCAACATTAAAATTTATCATAAAGGATGAAATCAGGTCTTAGTTATTCTTAAAACTATTTTTAAATCCTCTGCCCTATAAGCCTTGCTCTGCAAAACCAAAACACTCCTGTTCTGCCTCCAGGTTCAGCTATATCAGAATGGATGGTGGAGCAGCAATAAAATAGCTGTGAACAGTTTGTCTACTGACTTCTACATAAATAGCTCTTTTCATTAAATATCTACCACATCCTTTACCTCCAAAAACAACAGCATCATTCTTAAAGGCCAGGTGGGGAGTGAGCTTGGGAGAGTCAGTGGAGAAGGGCTCCTCTGGCACTGGTGTGGTGGTGGGCGCCTCTGTGGGTGAGAGCGTTTCAGTCACACACACCACGCGGAATCTCTTTCTCAGGAATTGCCCTGCCTCAGTCACAGCCTCGGCAGACACTGCTGTGATGTTCTCAGTCAAATCAGAGGCTGAAGATGCAGTTACATCACTTGATGCCGTTGATAAAGCAGGTGTAGTTGGGTCTGGTTGACAGGAATTAATCCGGACATCTGCAGCAGAGAAAAGAAATGCATAAAACTTGTGTTGGATGCCAGTTTTGTACTTACAGCACACACACTTATTGAAATTGTTCCTCAGTCTTTCCCTTCTGGAAATTTTTATTTTTTTGTTCACAAAAGCTTTACCCAAACCAGGTAAATATATCTTATTTCAAGTATGTGGTTATAACCTAGATTTTACAGCTTTTATCATTACTCACATAGTTACACACTCCTTTGAGCAACCATGGTACTCATTTTATGATTCCAAACCAATGACTATATCTCTCATGAAAACTACTCAGAGTAATACTGCACTTAAAACCCAACAGTATAACTTCCCACAGAGCAGGGAGCAACTTAACTGCAGATCCAATATGCAAAAATATTTCAATTACGTTATATATATGTTCAAAATATATGCATGTACTGTTGATACTTGGAAAATTAATTTGATTTCCTGTAAAAAAATGTAGTCCATAAAAGTTCCAAATAAATCAGGCACCAGTGTGAGATAAAAAAAATGATTGTAAGTGGGGAGGAGAAAAAGATTTGATTGTAAGTGGGGAGGAGGAGATGGGAAGTAAAAAATTTCAGGTTTGAAGAAAAAGAAGTAATTTCCAGAAATTAAATAAATTAATAGAAGTGGATGTTGTCTATATAAAAATGTAGGTGCAAGTGAAGTTTTACATGGAATTGGAAGAGCTGAGCTCTGAATCAGGCTCCTGTCAAAATGTGAAAATTCTACTTTGCTAGTGAAATTCTGTATTATGTAAAGCTATAAAAATTTCACTAAAGTAACAACCAGGTTAACATAAATAACAGGGAAAAGATGTATGCGCTGTTTTCCAAGTGAATCCCCATGGGGAGCCTGATGACGCAGTCACCTTTACAGAATGAAATGCCAAAGGGCAGGGGCTTGACACTTTTTCCACTATGGTTTTTCAAGAGCTTTTGGCAAGTTTTTTTGGCACAAGAAAATTGACAAAGAAATGCCTAGAACAGGCAAAAGTTTGGAAATTAAGATAAAGGACAGCAGAATGTGAAATATACATTAAATGGTTTTCTAACCATTGAGCAAACTTAACTTTCTTCACACACTCTTACAGCATATATGTATTTATTTTCTTTTAATTAAAGCAAAACAGAGCAAATAATTTGGAGTTACTTACTGCCCCTGTAGCATTACCCAATCTACCCAACATTTGCAATGCGGAATAACACATTTCATGCAGTGAATCACCATGTGCCATAGGCCTTCTCTCTACAGCTTTATCCTCAGTCTCTTTGGAGCCTCCACTCTTCACAGGATCACAGGTCTTTACATTTTTGCATTTCCATCTTACGCCTGCTTTCCAACCCTTGTTCACACAGTGTTCCTGAAAACTTTCAGGATTTTTTACATATCCTCTTGCTCTTGTTATCTAGAACTCACTGGCAAATCTAGGAACTGATTATAAATAATAAAATGATGCTTTATTTGGGTAATTATTGGGATATTTGTTATGTAATAACCATAGCTATGAGACACATAGAAACATAATATCTCTAGTTACTTATTTTTAGTTAATACCACAGAAGCCATTAGGAAACAATATTGATCTCTTGTGCTGAGATCTAACTTATTTCAAGTTCTACTGTTGGACTTCAGTCTGTAAATAGCCAGTGAGGGGAAGGGCAGGTCTTTTCACACCTAGGGTGATGCAAATTAAAAAGAGCTGTTGGATTTTGCCAATTAGGAATCTAATTAATTTTATGGTCTCTTGGCAGTTCTGGCTTATAATTTAACTTGGCTTAATGGTTAGACCTCCCTTTATAAAAAAAAAAAAATCTAATTTTCCTGAAGTACCCCACTCTAGCCTTTTTGCAAGAGTAGACACACCACACACAGATACCCTAGTTAAAGATTCAATCACTCTCTTTTAAATTATCATGCCAAATAATCAAAACATATTAAAAGCATTGCATCAGCATTAAGTAATGCTAAAAATAACTCTTCCTCAAGAGCTTTAATGGCAGCACCACATTATTAATTGGGATTAACTGAATTCACCTTTTGCATTTCTTGGAAGCTTCTGAGCTAAGAACAGCTTAACAATATTTAAGACTGGGGAAAGGGTCAACAAATTACAGGAAATTACTCACTTTTATGATTTTTTTCATGCAGATTTAAAAAATCTAATATAACCCAAAACACACAGACAATGCCGTTGTCATGCTTACATACCTGAGGAATTGAAGCAGTAGAGATGAAATTTTGTATCCTTGCTAGCATACCATTTTACTATTCCAGTTTTTCCCTGACCACATCTCTGGTTGGATGTTATCCGAGGAATAACAGCAAATTCATCTTTCACCCATCCAAAGCTACAACAAAAAGGATCAGTGCTTTTAGTGTGAGGTTTGTCACCAGCCTCAGCTGGGTGTGAAGGTGCTCACTAAAGGTAGTGGGCCACTAACTGATGGCACATACTTGCATGTTTCAAAGCCATGTTTCAAAGCCTCTTCCACTTGTATTTTACTGGCCAGCTCTAGGTTAAATTGATTACATCCATGACTTGCTTCTGAGAAATTCACTTTCTGATCAAGATAAATTCCTATACCCTTGATCCTGCAAGGTGAATTAATGGAACCTGTAATTAAGCCATAAAATAGTCAAGGTTAGTATTTGAATATTAACATTTATTCCTCATAAAGAATTTAAGATCAAGTGAATTGAACATTTTTTAAAGTTTCTAGCTTGAGGATAGCAGAAAACTAATTTTTAGCATGAAAGACATCTTAAAAACAGAATATCTTTTTTAAACAGAGTAGTCTGAGATTTCAAGTGGTTTGACAGTCATTAGACTAGATATAGCCCTTTTGCTTTCTTTTCTTTTTAAAAATAAATTAAAGCTAGCTGTTGCACCAAGGTATTCATACTGTTATTACACCCTTGTTATTGAGATAGTAAGGTATTTAACAGAAAAGGAGATACACATGTTTTCTCATGGAATTAATATACCAATAAGAAAATAAAAAATATTTGATAATTTCTGATATTCTTTATTCCTCCTAAACTCTTTTGTCTTCTTCTCCTAGCTTTGCATGATGCTTCCATCTCCCAGCCACTGTCAAGTATTCCATTTACTGTGTTTGGCAGGGAGCAGGAAAAGAGGAGATAGGTGAATTTAACACTTTTCCAGGCAGTTTATGCAGCTTTTTTAAATAGCCACAGCTGTCACACTCTCTGTGACACCTGCACCAGCAAGTGCATAGCTCAGGTTACACCTGCTCTTCTTTCTCATCTGTGTTAAGGGCATAGGCCAAATTTCAGGATTTGGCACAAATAAGGAAAAAGTGTATTACTATTTTGCTTTCTTATTTTACTGGGAGTATTTACTGGGGAAAAAAAGATCCTTTTGGAGTCACATGCAGTAATTGCCCTGTCAAATGAAACATTTCGGCATTTCATTGCAGACATGTCAGATAACCACCAGCGACAGGTGATACTTCCTTGCTCAATATGTTTGTCAGACTGTACTCACTAGTTGTGTACACTCATGTGTATTTCATAAAATCTGTGCTTCAGAATACAGGCAGTCCATAAACTTTCAAGGCAGGATGAAGTGATGCCTCCATACCCACCCCACGACTTCTTAACAACACAAATTAAACTGAATTTTATGAATGAAAACATAGAACTGGCAGCTAAGCCACTCTTGTGATGAGAAGGGGATAAAGGTGACTAAGCTTGTATGGAGTGCTAAGAAACCACACAGGCTTTTAGCTCCTGCTCCCTCTGGATGTGGTGGGGCTGGAAATGGCTTTTGGAAAATGATGTCTCTGCTGTCCTTAAATCAGTTTAAATATTTGGAAGAGCAATCTTTGAATCAGGTGGCTCTATCTCAGCCAAGAGGGAAAGCCACTGAAGCCTTGAGGAGTCCCCTCAGACAAACTGTAGCTGCATCCAGCCCTGAGCTGAACATAAGTCAAGCCCAGACACCTTGCAGGGGGATGCAGAGAAGCCCTGGTGCTCCATGGAAGTGTGTGTGCTCTTAGCAAGGACTTCAAGTCTACCTTTTTCAGTCTATTATTTTCCTATCTTCAGATATGAGCCAACACAACTTGTAAAAAATGTAATGTTGAGAAAGGAAGCTTCTCAATGACCAACTTCACAAATTTCAAATAAAGATGAGCAGCTGACTGAAAGGAATTTAAGGAAATCTTAGAAAATTACCTAAATACTTGTGAACTGCTACACTCATTAGTCATCCAGTTACAGGACAAATATTGTCACATGTGCATTGCAGGATAGCTACACTGCATAATACAGAAATTCAGTGCCAGAAACTTAGGTTGCAAATTGTAAGAAAAGTGACTCTAGGTTATGGACCAAAGTTGTGTCTTAAAATTTGCTAGGCCTTTTAAAACAAAACAGTGATTTATTGATACATTTTATAAAAGTTATGAATTTCCCACTGTGAGGAAGGAATCCAAAAAGAGAACAGTAACCTCTTCAAGTCTCTACATAGCTCATTAAATCACCTCTGAACTCTGTTCTGAAGATGACTGAGTTATACAGGAGGCAGACTAATCCTTTAGAAGTACATTATCCTTTTTGGTCCATGAGCTGCACATAGCTGTACTTTAAGCTCTGCTCTATTTAGGTAATCTAGTACTGGCACATTCTGCTCCGTATTTTGGTCTTGGGTTAAAAATTTGCTTTACTGAAATAAGTGAGAAGACCTAGACAGAAGAACATCACAGCAAGACAAAGTTACCATAGAACTGGAAGAAAATTGTTCAGTTTTTGTAAGCTGTGGATGTTGGCCTTGATGTGCATTAGATCTCTTTTGGGGTTTTTTTGGGGGGGGAGCTGTTGTTTTTCTCTTTGCCTTGTGTCTAACCTTCACTCTGATTTATTAGAGTTCCCTTTGGCTGCTGGTGTCAGGGAACAGCAAGCATGAGGCTGCTCCACAAGGAAGAGGACAATGAGTACAGCGTGACAGGCACAGTCCCACAGCACCTCAGCAGCACCACAGTGGGGATGGTGGCAGGTTTCATTGCCACTCAGAGAGCAAGACAACGAGTCAGACACCCAGAAAGTCCCTTTGAGAACAGCAGGAGATGGCTCTACACATGCCTGAAAGTCTGTCTTGGAGACAAGGTTACCTACAGCCTAAATCCAGAGTGCCTGTGTGAAGCCCAGACAACAAATCACTACAGGAGGGGACAGGACATGCCACAAAACAGCTCCAAGACAGCTGGAGATCAGCCCTGAGCTCAGCTGGAGCCATGAGGGTGCATGAGAAAGTGTCCCATGGAAAGGCACTTCCTCAAGCTCGCCCTTTCCCCGGTGGAAATTGTACAGTGTTGGTTTTGCTGGAGGACACTACTGTTGTTAGGTACTCCAGTCCTGTGGAATTTCAACAGGACTTGAGTATCTAATTCACTCAGTCCAGAAGTCTTTCAGTAGGTGAAAAAAATCAATTGTCTGCAATAACTGTATATGTTCATTAACATAAATAGAACAAGCATTAAGTCCTTGAAAACCAGCAAAGCATCTGGAGGCATTTGGTGTGCTTTGACCTTCTGCAGATATCCCAGCAGCTACTGCAGGAAGGATGGATTCTGTCAAGTTAATAATGGAATTTGAACTGTAATTAAGCCATAAATGTTTTGCTCTGGTATTTAAAATGATACAAAATGAAGTTACATTTCAACAGATCTGAGCTTAATCCTAAATGCCATACCAGATCTTTGAAATAAGCAGTTTTGTAGCATTTAGATTCAAAGGCTTCAGCATTTTCAACAATGGAACTAGATCAACAGTGAAAGTTTCCCTATATCCCAGTTTTTGTTGCACTGTATTCTCAAAACCCTGTGGCTTTCTCTGCCAGAAACACATTTACACACACTCATTCTCCACATTTTTTTGGTAAATCCATCTACTTTTTTCAAGACTTTAAAAAGTGGAACTTTACATACCTGTTACAAAGTAATTTTGAGCCAGGAATGTCATAACCCAGATGAAAGACACTGCTGATGTAACTCCAAGATAATTTGCCATTGCCACCAGCTTGGAAAACTCAGAAAATTAGGAAATTCAAGGTAGTTTGTCTCCTGTGCTGAGGCAAGTTAAGGTATTGGATGCTGTCAGATGATGAGATGACTTCTGGAAAGCAACTCCAGCTGTCAGTGCAGTGCTTCATAGAAAGAATGGCAGAGGCAGCGTGGTGGCTGTCCCACTGCAGGGCGAGGTCACGGAGCGGAAATCCCTCATCACCCTTTCCACCAGCTTTCATGTGGGATTGCTGGAAAATGTCACTGCTGCTGATTCACAAGCACAGCTGAGGAAGGGAGATAAGGCTGTTACACTGCTAAGTCAGTAAACACTTCGAAAGAAGGTTTTCTTTTGCTGTTTTTTCCTGTTTTACTGATGAACAGATCATTATTCAGTTTGTCTATTCATCTGGTAAATAAAACAAATCTTCTATCGTATCACAATATGCCACACAACATTTTTCTTTTTTATTGGAACTGGACGGGCATCCATTCCCCATTGTCCTATTTGCCTTGATGGAGTTTTACTTTTTTTTCCTTAGAGTTCCAAAGCAAAAGTAGTTCCCATAACACAGAGGTAATATGAAACTTATTTTTTAAGAGATTTGCAGATACACTACTGTAAATGGGATTCCTTGAGACCATAGGTACAGAGGTTGCAGCCACTTCAAATCACTGCTGCCTTCTGTGACATTCCAACAAACAGTGATTCCCCTGGATTGATTCAAATCACAGATGGTCCTCACAGCTATAATTTTAAAAGTTTCAAGAAGTCTTAGATTTTTTTTCCAGAGGTTCCAATAAACACAGAGCAGGAATGGAGTTCACAGTATGGGCTAATTCCTTCCTTTAGTGTCAGTCATGTCTGCTGTATCTACGTTATTCCTGACAGATGTTTGTCTAACCTGCTCTCAAAGATTTCCAGTGGCACATTCCTAACATTTCCTCTAATGCTCTTGTTCAGTGCTTCACTGTTCTTTACGGTTCAAAGGTGTTCCCTACACTAACTTGACTTAGCTATTCCCTGGTACAAGCCTATCACTTATTTCCTGCTGGAAATGGACATGGAAGATACTTTACTCCCTTATGTTTTGCAACTATTTTATGTTTCTAAAGAGTTATGCCTCTGTTCCCAGTTTTCCTTCAGCTAAGAAACCCCTGCTGCCTCACTCCCTTGCTCCATGTGACACCTTGCCAATGTCAAGACTAATAAATAAATTGCTTTATACCTGCTTTACAGTTCAGAATGGTGTCAGTCTTTTTATTTTTGCAGCAGTATGGTCTTCTTACATCATGTTTAGCTTGTGATTCAGCAAACATTTAGATGTCCAGTGTCTCCAGGCTGCTTTCAGAGTCCTATAAACACAAGTGTAACAGTGTAAAGCTACCTCTTTAAGCTGTGGTTTGCATTTAGAAAGTCCCCAGTCAATATAAAGGGTATTAACTTTTAATGGGGCACAAGCACATCTCCTGCAGCAGCATGTAACAGGGTTATTAGGTGGTGCTCTGTAACACAGACAGGGCCTGAAGAGAATGCTGGGGGTCAGTGAGATCATGTCTCCATTAGCAATGATGGAATGAAAATTAGGTTGTGTTTGGGCTGTGGTTTGGAACTGAATTTGGTAAAACTCAATGAGATCTTTAGACAAAGTTCTAGCTCCAATTTCTGTTTCCCTCCCTTATTGTGCTGTACTCACCTGCTTCTACAAAGCCATGGCAAAGTCAGATACTGTTATCAGACTTAGCTCCCGCTTGAAGAAGGCTGTAAGAGGATTCACTGGCATTTACAAGGTAGAAGCAGAAACTAATTATTAGTTATTCTGTAGGTCTCAAGGACTACATACTGTGGTTGTAAAATACTGAGAACATTAAATGAAATCTTTCCATTGAAAAAACTTACTTTGATCTGCTAAGTATTTCCTACCATGAAAATTAATAAATAGCTGTGTTTCTGGCATTTTAAAATTGCATGCTACTTGTCCTGCCAGATCGTAACATTTTGTACCATGGCTAAGTTCCCTTAGTCAAACTCTTGATGTTTAATAGGATTTTTAGCTGTAAAAATGAGATAAACATCTTTCAACACCAAACAATACAAGCTCCTTCACAAGGTCTTCCAGATTAGGAGAGGGAGAACAGAATTTTAGAATGACAAAGCAAGACTGAAATAACTTTGGTTTTTGTGTGTTTCTTCCTTTTTATAGTTCAGCTGCTCCAAAACTGTGTGGAAGATCACTTATCTGGACTGTAACAGTACAAAAGGTCTTTAACCTTTTGGTGTGTCTTCTTCATAATCAGTGTGGTAAAAAAAGCAGATCTATGCTGAATGATTAATTAGTCTTTGACCGAAATAGTTATTGTAACCTATATGAAAAATTCCCGACCTTTTATATCAGCATGTTTTAAAATGCTGATGAGGATTGCTAACAACTTTTGATAAGGCAGAACACATATAACTGTTCTCTACAATAATTTCAAAAGGAACCTTGAAATCTGAACAACAGTAGAGGAAACAAAAAAGTTGTTCATGTAGAAAATTCAAATATCAGGGTCTGTCCATGGAAACAGTAATTCTTTTCCAGGTGTTGATGTCCCAGAGTTTGTCCCTGGGGGGACCATCAGAGATTCAGAACTTTAGGACTGACTCCTACCCACTGTCAGGGAAGTCTGCTCCCCACTAGACTTCCCAGACCTCCCAAGTCCACGAAGCAAATAAAGACTCCTGACCTTACACTCAGAATCCCTGGGTTACAATTTCCCTTGTGGCTCCCATGTTCAGCCTCCTCTGGGACATGTGGCCTCCCCCGAAGCAGGAGTTAAACTCTCCCCAGGATATTTCAGCTTCCTCTCTCAGCTGGTTCTAGGGCATGGCAGGGATGATGATGATCCTGCTTCCAAACACTTTCTCCATTGACACAGGAGTTTGTTCTCCTCTTCTGTACCATTTTCCTGAAGAACTGGAAGACTAAGAGCAAGATCCTCCAAGCATGTAACAGTGTAGACAAGGCAGGACTTATTTCATGAGGACACAGCCATCAATATGCAGACACAGCACCCCAAATCTTTAAGGTAAAAACACTGAGGACTTTGAAACCATAATTTTATTTCAAAACTCAAGTATGTGATACTATACAGTACAATACCAGCACACTTGTGCAAAATCTTACAATATTACAAATTTAAATATGATACACAAAAATAGTGCCCTTTTGAAATTCCTTTTGCTAGAAACATTTGTGCTGTGCAGGAGAAACCATAAATGTGTCTTGTTAAAGCATAAAAATAAATATTGCACCTCAAGAAAACTATTTCAGTGTTAATAGCATAAATAATAGGTCTGTTTCTTGTTATCTGATGTGATCTTTGAACACAGAAGAGGCTGTTTGGCTTTTTTTTCCAAATAAAGCAAACTAATATCCAACAGATAAAATTATAGCTAGAATAGTTTTTGAGTTTAATCTAGTTTCCTATTAAACAAAAGGTGTTTAATTAAATAACTGAAAAATACAAGCATAGCTATTTAGTGTGCTGTTAGTCATTGTGGTTTGTTATTTTTAGTGGACAGTTTGCTCAAAGTAGTTATAAAAAGAACTTTTTTTTTTAAGTAAACTTTATCTTCATTTTTTCACCCCCATTAAAATCCCTTGCCTCTTTCAGTTCATTTGTGGCTAAATTATACTTACCTCAGACATGCAAGTAGTTCAGCTCAAATCAATACAACTACTTATGGGAATTGTCCCTTTGCACTGATTCCACAAAAAGCTAGTGGGCTGAATTTTAAGAGAGGATGGAGACCTCATTCACCCACTGACCAAAAAGACCTTTTCATATGCTTAGCAGTAAGCAATTAGAGAGTTCTGTTGATATCAACAACTTTCCATGTGTATTTAAAATAAGTTATTGGACTCACAACAGTGCAGAAGTAAATAAAAACAAATTAATTCAATTACAGGCACTGAATTATTTTTCTTCAGGGCAGCCCAACATTTCCACAATCACATAAATATGTGCCATAATTTTTGGCATAGAAAAATCTAAATATTTAGGAGAAATTACTTTCAATTTTATTGCCTTATTAAGATACCAATGTTATTTGTAAAGAATCATAAGTTAAAGAAGTTGATTTTAGTACAGTATTCAAGAAACAACTGACAAGTTTCTTCAAATACTCAAAGTACATGAAAGGTCACAGTAGTTCTTCATAGTCAGAAATTCTAACTAAACCAGATTCCAAGTAATTTGCAAGAAACCTTCTCCTTATTCTTTACCAATAGCAATTTTAGACCAAATCACACTTCCCCGTTATCCTTTTTGAACTTCCTTAAGCACACTATTCCTCAATATATATACTTTAAAATAAAAAAACCCAAACTTTTAATTGCTTATAGACTCTCTTCCCCACCCCCTAAAAATGTGGTAGTGGTCTGCTTTTTTTTTTTTTTTAATTTTTTTTCTTTTCCCATATAAATATCTTCTAAGAAACACATGGCCAACAAAAATTCACCAGCAGGATATTTGTTATTAGTGCCAGGTATGTGAACTAAATTTCTGACTGAGTTAGAAACCTATTTTCTTTGACAGTTAGCTTAAAGTTCAGTGTTTCCACCAAAAGAAGACAGGACAATATTGACTGTATCAGAACTGAAATTACAGTACTTCATAACACTCTTATCCTTCTGATGGGAAACAGACCCATTTCTCAACCAGAAAATGCCAGGAGGATGCAGGACAGGAGTGCAATCAAGGGTCCCACTGGATTTGCCATTGTGGCCATAGCTATGGAGAGACAAACGCGGTTCACCTTCCCTCAGAAGTGGTGCTCAGCAGGTACAAATGACACCCCTCCACTGACACACATTTTGGTCTCAGCCCTAAGTGCTGGGTTTTGTACAGGTAATGCCTTCATCATTTTCAAATTACTTGTCCGAAAAATTCAGGCTTTCATATTCCTGTGTAAGAACTCACAACTCCCAAGTAGGAAGAACTGGCAAAAAATCTGGGCAAAAGATGAGCTCAGCTTTGGAAGTGTATCAGATCAGTTTTGGTCTTGGCATCAGATTCTGAAAATGAACTACTGAAAACATGCAGTGAGCTCTCCTAAGGCCTCACTGCCACCATGGCCTGATTCATGCAGGCACAGGTTGGGTTCTGGCTGATCTCAGAGCTCTGCTCCTGCTGCAGATCTCAAAGAATGCCTATTCCAGTGTTAGCAAGAGGGCAGAGTCCACTTGCTGTAGTCACCTCTGTACAGAGGTTTGAAGATATTTGTTTTCATTTTCAATCAAGAATTGAAGATTGCTTCCCATGTCCAAGACTGTTGTGTTTTGGGCTTGGGTAGCACATGGACCCTTCCAGGCAGCTACCACTTTTGGCTGTAACCAGTACTGACTCTGAGTGGCATACATTTATTTTTGGAGACTTTTATATAGCAGAAGTTTCCAGACTTATTGGATAATATCAGCTGTGTCACCTATTTCACCTAGACCCCATTTTAGGTTCTGTTGAGTACCTCATTTAAAAAAAAGTGGTGGTCCCATTCTTAAAACATATCATAAAAAGCATTTATGCATGTACTTAGCATTCCATTTAAATAATCATATAGATAATTTCTCTTATAAAATGACTTTAGCAGCAAGGCATTTGGTCTTAGAATATAATTATATTCTTCCATGGAAGTGCTTCTATTTCTGCCCAATAGTCATGAATAAGGAAATGAATTAGCCTCTTAAAACCCAAAGGACTAAATGCAATTAGTACTTCAACAATCAACAGTAAATTCAGGAAATGAAAAGTAAAGCATTAACTGCAAATGTGGGTTTTATGATGGTCTTCAAAATGTCAATGTCCTATGCAAATGATTCTTTTAATGTCTTGCAGGTTGCTGATTACTGCCACAACCTTACCATGATTCAACACTACTTTATTTCTACAAGTCCTTGACAATAAGAGGACAGACAGGATTATTGATCAGATTGGCATCTTAGTAAGGAATGCTCACCATGGATCCCTGGTGGTGTGGAGTAACTCACTTGCCTAAGGGATCAGTGGAGCAGCCACAGGGATGACTAAGCACTACCTTTCAACACAGTGCTCTACTACACAAACTCGCTCAGGGACCACAAGGGCGTGGCTGTCCCTCTGTTATTCCGCGCGTTGCTGCTGCCGGAATCCTGAGCTCCACCAGGAATACTGCTGGGCCGCAGAGCAGCTGGCCTTCCCTTCAGCTGCCTCTGACTTTTCATCACAGGAGTTGTAGGAGTGGTAGATTCCCAACACCACAGCAAAAATGACTATTGCAGCCACCACAAGCCACACCACGTTCCAGTGTTTACACAGTTTGGGGTACAGGATATATAAATAATTAACGATGACTTCAAGTCTGCTGTAAAATGAAAAGAAAATTATTATATATTAATCAAATACAATATTTTCATCTTGAGCTTTTCAGTTTGGAAGATGCCATAGGTGGCACCATCTTTTTTCCTTAGACAAACATCTTGTCAAAGAAGAATCAAACTGTAGAGTTCTTTTACGGAGACCTGAACACTCAGATATTTCAACTCCAGCTATTCCATATGAGTAATACTTGTGAGACAGCTGGGGACTGTAAACTTGACTCCTATTTTACCCACCTGTCAGCTGGCAAGTCTCAGAGCTTGGTACCAAGCAAAATCCTGCACTGTTCATACCTTGATCAACTAAATTAAACATTGGAATATGTGGTAAACATTTCATTCCAAGAGTGTCATGACTAATGAGATGGTTGCTCTCTGAAGGCGGCTGAAATCTCAAACCAACAGATGTTTATAGCTGTAATGGTTATGGAATGGAAAGGAATTCTTCTGGATTAGGCAAGAATCCCTGCCTTAACCTGGGATTGGACATATTACTGGCTTTGGCCAGCATTTAATGCCTCTGTAATGTACAGACAGAGAGCACTGGGTGCAGATGGATGCAGTGTCTCTCCAGTGACAGGAATGACACCCAGCACCAGTTCGTGCTCCTGAATTACAAACTTTATAAGGCAGTACATATACACAGAGGGATACATTTTGGCATCTAAGGAACTTTTATGGACCATTCTTTTACCTCAAATCAGAACCAAACCCCAGCAAGATGAAGCATCTCGATGTAAACATACAGCTTTAACTGAAATATCAAAATCAAAAGTTTTGTGTTTTGCAACTATCTTGTGTTAGAATATTATTTTCTGTGGAAATACTGTTATTTTAATATGCTTCCCCAGGAGAAAAACATGGCAAAAGGACAGGATAAAACACTTGCTTGGGTACCACAAGTAGAAAAAAGTGGCTTCTCTTGTATGGACATATTACACCACTGTCTCACCTGCTTTTCAGGTTTTTTATCTCATCTTCATTTTCACTTTCTTCATGTTCCTCATGACTTTGTTTGGGTGTCTCTTCATCGTCTTCCTTCAGTTCCTGAAGTTCTTTGGCCTTCTTCAAGGCTTCCTGATATCTTTATCAGATAAAACATTTCTTTCTTAGCATAGGATGTATAAGCATGATCTTATTTAATGAAAAATTAGCTTTATGTTTTGTTACATGTAATAAAGCACAAGTAGAAGTGTTGCAGCACCTGAATAAGAGTAAAAATTAGCTGAAGGCCATGAGTAAGGCACACAGACAGCCACTCTTCCTGAACAGAGGATTGTATTAGAGCTGATAACAAATTTATCACTTTGAACAAAAAAGGAGGTTGTTCTCCACAGAGAACAATTTCTGTCTATTGTAAAGGAGCCAATAAACATTTCTCTATAGCTCTTCATCACTTTGAATATCCTCTAGATACCTCTTTTTTCCTGGAGAATAAATGCAATTCAGTGCTAAAGTCAGATGGCATACTGGATTCTGCAGGAGAGGATCAAAATTTGTCTCACTCTTCACATAATGCAAAATTCTTTGCTCGACATTCAGAAACAGATCCCAAAGTTCTTAATTGCCCCAAAACATGCTCTGTGAAGTATTTTGTGAGATCAGCAACATAACTACTGTATTTAAAATTAAATTTTTAAATCCTATGTCCTCATCTGGTAGCACATATTTACAGGTTTAGTTCACAACAGGTATTCTCACCCCTTGTTATATGCTTCCTCTTCTATCTTGGCTTTAGTTTCAGGACTGATCTCTTCCAACCCACTCTGTGTCAGCACAGACACAGGAGGAGTTGAGGTTTCACAGTCAGGTTCTCCATTTGACTTCCCACTGCCAAGACAAAAGAAGCAGACAGATAGAAAATAACATCAGGGAAATGTGTTGTATTTGGAGTATGCTGCAGTTTTGTGAGTCATGATTTGTCTTTTTTAATGTACATTGGAGAAATGAAATGTCTCTCAAAAGAAAAAACTGGAACACAAGAAAAATATTTGTTTCAGGATGTTGTGATTTAAGAACAGTAATTATTATGTTTCTAAGGTAAGAAAACTATCATTTTTATTCTTCTTTAAAAAAGAAAAGAACCTTTCTTACCTGGCTCATCCATGACATTTACTTGCTATTCATGAAAACATTTCCCTCAACTTTCTAAAACTCATCTTAGAAATTGTAACCTGCCACATAAGAGGAACATAACAGAAGTAATGTCAAATACCAATTCAACAAAACATTGGTTTTGTTTGCCTTTTATTTATTCTCCTGTGCTGACTTTCCAGAACTTTCCTCAAGTAAATTTTGGAGCATTTAGCCTGAAGATAAGTTGGTTTATATTGCTGTCTTCCTGCAGTGATCTTCCTGCAGTGATCTCCATTTATCTGGGACAGAAAGTTTAAGTGATTGAAACATGGCAGATCTATCAAAGTCAAGGTTTAATGAGCTCAACAATGGATCCCATTTCAACTTCTGGAATCTCATCCTTTTCACAGGCCTTGTTTTCCTGGCACTAAAATAGTTCAATCTGATAGACACAATCTGTGGGCAATGGATTTTCTCTCAAGTCATATTAACAATAAACATTATTTTCACTTGGACTTTAAACAAACCATGAGTATAAGCTGGAAGTGCTTAAACACACAAAACTCTCCTGGTCTGGGTAATTCTACACCACTAGACCAGCTGGCCCATGCACACACACTTAGGCTCAAACTTGAATTTCAAGTTCTGCCTCTGTTACTTGGTAACATGATTTGTTTTCCTAGGTGTGAAATATTGATAAGGTTTTTTTGGTTGTTGTATTTTCTCACAGAAATTCTGTGCAGTTTCAAAAGTGGTCTAGATCTTGCAGAGTTCTTTTGAATAGTAGCAGCCAGTGCTGTGGTTTCCCATTTTTGTTTTCTCAGTTGTTGCATACTTACATTCTTAGTGAAG